AGCAATTACACTGTGCTGATTGGTGGTTGTGGCAGGGTTGGCTATGTGAAGAAAGCCTTCAGGCTCTACAATGACGTAGGTTTACATTCTCTCCTCTCTCAAACCTTCATTAGGTTTTCTAAGCTAAAACTGTTTCAAGCATGTGGTTACTTTGTCTCCGAATTGCCTTTGAGTTAGTGTTTGCAACTTCTGAGCTTGCAACTTTTAAAAACAAGTTCAGAAAGTCTAGAAGCCCTTTCCTAAAAAGCCAGTTCAAATTCTTCTTCTCTTCCTTCAGATGAAGAAACGAGGCTTAATTCCCACCGAGGCCACTTACACAGCCCTGTTCAATGCCTGTGCCGAATCCCCGTGGAAAGACTCGGGCCTGCAGAGCGCTCTCAAGTTACGGCAGCAGCTAAAGGACAAAAACGAAGAGCTGAACCTGATCACCTACCACGCGCTGCTCAAGGTCTGCGCCCTGTGCTCAGACCTCAGGATGTGCTTTGATGTACTGAAGGTAAATATGTGAGTTTTCTTATATTAAGTGTAGTCTAGTCTGGTTAAAGCTCCTGGAAGATAACATATTGCAGAGACTTTTTTATACATGCTATACCCCTGGAAGACATCAGCAGTGTTTGACCTTCACGTCCAGCAGCAATAGATTGTTTGGATAAGTGGGAAGTGTAATGCTTTCTCTGTTCTTTCAGGAAATCGTGCACAAAGGCCACGTGCTCACAGCTGAGACCTTCAGCTTCCTCCTGATGAGCTGCATAAAGGACAGCGAAAACGGCTTCCGATACGCCTTACAGGTTTGTCTTCATGTTCTAAGTGGGGAGGAAAAAGCGCTTCTGCATTGTACGTTGAACACATGGAAGGGGCAGCAGGTTGCTCAGAGGTAGTAAAACAGGAGTTCAACTCCTCCTAGGAGAAGTTCTGTAAGCTAGACTTCCATCAGGACACCTCGTACACTGGTAAACTGCCCTGGATGATCTCACAGGACTAGCTCAAGGTGACTGCTCACTCTCCAGTAGCCTCTCACCTCATCATGGTGTAAACTTGCTCTTTTGCCGCAAGCAGATACCATTAATATGCTAGAAATTAATATGCTGTTACTTAATACCACATCATCTTCCCCTCTTCAGGTTTGGAAACAAATGACTAAACTTGGAATCAAGGCCAACAGCCACACTTACAATTTGATGCTGCGTGCTGCGAGAGACTGCGGAATAGGTGATCCCGTTGTGGCTTCGGAACTCCTGCTCAGCCCTGCTGAGGAGAACCCATCCCAGCTAAGGCTTGCACCAGGGAGGCAGAAGAAAACGGTAAAAAATCCGAGGAGGAAGGGATCAGAGAGCGCAGCTGCTGTCCAGCTGGATGTGGAAGCCATGGAAAAGCAATTCTTTCAGGAGACATCGGTGCAGTCTGAAGAACTGATCCGGCAGCAAAATAGTTATGCGACTCGGGCTGAAGCAGAAGCAGAAGCAGCTGCTCTCAGCAGCCCCAGTGTAGCTCCCAGCAGGGCTGGAGCATTGATGAGGAGAGGCCAGGATGAGACGGAGCAGAAACAAGCAAGGCTAAGCTGCAACACGCCCAACTTGCTGGATTCCAGGATGCCCAACTCAGCTGTGGTTTCCTTGGGGACAGTGGCCACACCGTCCGATCGACTGGCTTTGATGGGGGATGTGGAAGGCTTCTTGAATAAGATGAAAGAGGACAATGTAGAACCCAACATTAAAACATTTACATTACTGGTTGAGCTGGTGGAACCCCAAAGCCCCTCAGAGTCCTCTTTGCTGGCACTCCTAGATCAGCATAAAGCCAAAGTAGATGTGACCTTCTTTAACACCTTAATAAGGAAGAAAAGTAAACAGGGAGACCTGGAAGGAGCAAAGGTGAGGAAAAACCCAGACCCAGCTTTGTCACAACCTCCTTGTCTCAGGCCTCCACTGTTACCTCTCTTTCACCCTGAGACCTGTTTCTCTATCCACAGGAGAACAAGGAGCCTCATACCATTTTCCACAAACTAGTGCTTGCATTAAATTTCTTAAGCATTTATGGATTCGGTTCTAGCACATTCAGCTCTCTGTTCCGAAAGGGTAAGGCTGTTTGGAAACTGATGTCAACACTTGTATCTTGCAGAGCGTGCTCCCAGCTCTAGTGAAGAGAGGACTATCACCCAACCTCCAGACCTTTTGTAACTTGGCAATTGCTTGCCACCAGGAGAAGGATGGACTGCAGTTACTCTCAGATTTGAAGGTAATAAAAAAAACCAACCAAACAACAAACCACCATGCTGCTTGGGGTTTGAGCTGCAGGAAGAGGCCAGGTGGAGTGTTAATGCTTCTAAAAAGACCTGCTGAGGTCTCTGCAAGTAATTTTGTTGTCACTCCAAAAACATGCAATTCCAGAGTAGCTGCCAGCTCAGGTGATCTGTCCTGTACCTGTTCTGGGGTAGGAGAGAGCTGACGAGGAGGGGTGTGCTGGCACTGTAGTAGCTGCTACACAGGTTCCAGAGTGAGAGCCATCCTCCTTGGCTAAGAAGCGCCTGCATGCCTTTTCCTTCCAAGAGTCGTCCTGCACTAGTCAGCAGATAAACAAGTTTAGCTGTAGCATTTGGTTTTTTTCCAGAGGTCTGGAGTAACTCCCAACAAGTACATCTACAGCACCCTCATCGCTGCCGCAGCGAGGCAGTTGAATTACAGTTACCTCACAGAGATCCTGCGGGACATGAGGAATAACCAAGTGCCTCCCAATGAAGTTATCATACGCCAGCTGGAATTCGCCGCACGCTACCCTCCGAAATTTGACAGGGTGAGTAGCTGTGACCGGTCACAGCATGAAGGTGTCAGGAGGGGAGGGGACACAGTGAAGGAGGCGAAACAGATCTCTGCCTAAGTCTTGTTCCTTAGGGTTTGTCTGTTCTGGCTGACAGTTGCTTGATAGCTGTTCCTCTAGTAGCAGCTTCTAGCTATTGCAGCCTGCTCTTGAAGCAAGCTCTCCTCTAACAGAAACTTGTTTTTTCGATTTCCGTTTGCAGTATAAGTCAAAGAACCCGTACCTGGAGAAAATTGATGGTTTCCGCGGCTACTACAATCGGTGGTTAAAAGTTATGGCAGGAGAGGAGACCCCTCACCCCTGGGAAAAATACCGAATAGCAAAACGGGTGGGAGATCACGATAAGGAAGA